TCACGATTCTGCTTAAACTGCTTGACGTTTAAAGCTGATTTTTGGCAAACGGATTGACTGTGGATGGAAAAAATGGTTAGTCTTTCGGGAAAACGCTTGGACACGCATAATTTATTTTTTTTTACATATTTTGAATTTTTTAAAAAAATCATACAGGGTGTTCCAAAAAGTTGGGTAATTGATTAACCACGATTCTGCTTAAATTGCCAAAATATAATAATATCGCCATAGTGTTTCTTTTCTCATGCTGACATAAATGTGAGAAAATTTTATCCAGTTTGTATGTTAATAGAAATTCTTGCTTTGCTTTATCATCACCATTACAAATGATTAATTCGACGCGAACGAAGTCGCGGGTAGACGCTAGTAAATAATATGAATTCAGGAAAACAAGCATTATTTTAATTCAAATCTGTCTATGAACGAGTAAGCGAAAAAAAGCAACAAACTACAGGGCGATACGCAACGCCTGGTCCCAACCTGGTACTCTTTTCGAAATGTCTGTTTTTAGCAAGCGTCTTTCTGTGTGCGTTTGTTTCTAAGGTCGTCATTAGACCGTCCCCCATTGCCTAACGTACAGCAGCCGTTCGACAATTAACATAACAGACGAAGAATCGGGCAGTAGTTTTCTTAATTGCACCACTGTGGTAACAGCGAATATGTACTATGGCTTAATTCCAGTGGGGGGATTGGTCAAGCTTGACACGGTGGCAAAAACAGTCTTTTGAAAAAAATTCCGATATACATTTCTGGTTAATTTGTCAAAAATTCAGTAAATTTAATTGCTCTAAATCTGATTTGGTTTAAATTCACCCATGAGAAGGGGTGAAATCTATACTAATATATAAAATCCTTAAGTGACTCACTAATTAATCACGATCCTGCTCAAACCACTCAACGTAAGAAGCTCAATTTGGGCATACAGGTTAATTGTAGAGGTTCGATAAGAAGGGATTTTTCCAAATTCCAGTTCCAAGGGGGTGAAACCACCCCTCTAATATTACAATATTTTTTATTTAAAAAACGGCCAAGTTTCCGAAAGAAAAACACTTAAACACGTATATTTTATTTTGTTTTCGTCATACTATATTGTTATATTATTATAACATAAGCAAAATCAGAATGGAAAAGATGCATATAACGTCCGCCGGACGTTATCATAACGGCCGGCGGTCGTTAAGTTTCTAAGGTAATCGTAACGTCTGTCACCTGCAACAATGACTATTTATTGTCAGTTGGACTTTTCAAAAATTGGGAAAATAGACCATAGCGAGATGTCGCGAGAAATTCCGTTGGAAATACAGGAGGAAGCGGCTGCGGCTACTCAAAATTTACTTCCGACTATAACCAGAGAGAGATATCAGCAGGAATATGACAATTTTTTGAAGTGGCGGCAGGATAGAAGTATAAACAGCGTAAATGAAGCGGTATTGCTGGCTTATGCTAAAAAGAATGTCTGAAATGTATTCTCCTACATCACTGTGGACAAAGATATCCATGCTGAAGCTTGCGTTGAGAGTATATGAAAACATCGACATATCAAGGTAAAAAGCCATTATATTCTTCGATATTTAATCATACTCATCTAAATTATATTTGTTCATAGATTTGGTAAACTGTTCATGTTTCTGAGGCGCAAAAACGAAGGTTATTCACCAAAAAAGCCAAAGTTCTGTCGGAGAATGACATAAATAATTTTCTACTGGATGCCGATGATTACACCTGGTTACTCAGAAAAAATTGTATTGGTGCTTGGTATTCTTGGAGCTTGTAGGCGCAGCGAGCTTTGGTCACTCACAGTTGATGATTTCGAAGATTCGGAGAAAAATATTCTTGTCTCATTAAGAAATACTAAAAATAAGAAAGATAGGAAATTTCTTATTCCAAAACGGGCCTTCCGTTTGATGCCTATGGTTTATACAAAAAATACATCAACCTGCGTCCTCGTAACTTTGACAATCCAAAATTTTTCATTGGTTACAAGAAAGGCAAGTGTGTTAAGCAAATCGTCGGTATACATACCATCGGGAGCGTACCGCAGAAAATTGCAAAATTTTTGAACTTGGAGAATCCAGAACGTTATACAGGGCATTCATTTCGTAGATCATCAGCAACCATGCTCGCCGAAAATGGTGGTGATTTACTATCGCTAAAGGAGCTAGGAGGATGGGAGTCTTCAACAGTGGCAGAAACTTACATAGAAAAATCAGTTTCCAAAAGAATGAAAATAACAAATCAACTTTTTCATGATAGCTCCAAAATAATGTGTCTTTAGTGGATACAAATATTTGCCATTCTTCAGTAGCATCATCTTCTTCTATAAAATCTGTAAATCCCTGGGAAGGATTACAGATTTCTAAGAACAACAAGTGCACTTTTAATTTCCATGTTCATTATCATGAAAAATGAATTTTAGTATAAGACATTATGTATTTTTTATCCTTACTTGTGTTATTGTTCAATAAAATTTGTTATTAAATAGTAGTGTTTATTGCTCTAAAAAATCTGCAGTATGACGAAAAATCTAGAACGCAACACGGCCGATAACAAATAACGGCCGTGGCTGCTTATGATCCTCGGCTATCGCCTCGGATCACAAACTTCAGCCCGGCCGTTATTTGTTGTTTATCGGCCTTATTACGTTAATAACTATTTCGTCATACTATATTGTTATATTATTATAACATAAGCAAAATCAGAATGGAAAAGATGCATATAACGTCCGCCGGACGTTATCATAACGGCCGGCGGCCGTTAAGTTTCTAAGGTAATCGTAACGTCTGTCACCTGCAACAATGACTATTTATTGTCAGTTGGACTTTTCAAAAATTGGGAAAATAGACCATAGCGAGATGTCGCGAGAAATTCCGTTGGAAATACAGGAGGAAGCGGCTGCGGCTACTCAAAATTTACTTCCGACTATAACCAGAGAGAGATATCAGCAGGAATATGACAATTTTTTTGAAGTGGCGGCAGGATAGAAGTATAAACAGCGTAAATGAAGCGGTATTGCTGGCTTATGCTAAAAGAATGTCTGAAATGTATTCTCCTACATCACTGTGGACAAAGATATCCATGCTGAAGCTTGCGTTGAGAGTATATGAAAACATCGACATATCAAGGTAAAAAGCCATTATATTCTTCGATATTTAATCATACTCATCTAAATTATATTTGTTCATAGATTTGGTAAACTGTTCATGTTTCTGAGGCGCAAAACGAAGGTTATTCACCAAAAAAAAGCCAAAGTTCTGTCGGAGAATGACATAAATAATTTTCTACTGGATGCCGATGATTACACCTGGTTACTCGAAAAAAATTGTATTGGTGCTTGGTATTCTTGGAGCTTGTAGGCGCAGCGAGCTTTGGTCACTCACAGTTGATGATTTCGAAGATTCGGAGAAAAATATTCTTGTCTCATTAAGAAATACTAAAAATAAAGAAAGATAGGAAATTTCTTATTCCAAAAACGGGCCTTCCGTTTGATGCCTTTGGTTTATACAAAAAATACATCAACCTGCGTCCTCGTAACTTTGACAATCCAAAATTTTTCATTGGTTACAAGAAAGGCAAGTGTGTTAAGCAAATCGTCGGTATACATACCATCGGGAGCGTACCGCAGAAAATTGCAAAATTTTTGAACTTGGAGAATCCAGAACGTTATACAGGGCATTCATTTCGTAGATCATCAGCAACCATGCTCGCCGAAAATGGTGATGATTTACTATCGCTAAAGGAGCTAGGAGGATGGGAGTCTTCAACAGTGGCAGAAACTTTACATAGAAAAATCAGTTTCCAAAAGAATGAAAATAACAAATCAACTTTTTCATGATAGCTCCAAAAATAATGTGTCTTTAGTGGATACAAATATTTGCCATTCTTCAGTAGCATCATCTTCTTCTATAAAATCTGTAAATCCCTGGGAAGGATTACAGATTTCTAAGAACAACAAGTGCACTTTTTAATTTCCATGTTCATTATCATGAAAAATGAATTTTAGTATAAGACATTATGTATTTTTATCCTTACTTGTGTTATTGTTCAATAAAATTTGTTATTAAATAGTAGTGTTTATTGCTCTAAAAAATCTGCAGTATGACGAAAAATCTAGAACGCAACACGGCCGATAACAAATAACGGCCTTGGCTGCTTATGATCCTCGGCTATCGCCTCGGATCACAAACTTCAGCCCGGCCGTTATTTGTTGTTTATCGGCCTTATTACGTTAATAACTATTTTTACATATTCTAAGAATTTTTAAAAATGTATACAAATACATAATACAAGGGTGTTTCAAAAAATCTGGTCATTGATTGTCCTGCTTAAAGCGCTTGAAGTAAAAAGCTGATTTTTGGAAAACGGATTGACTTTAGGGTGTAGAGGTTCGATAAGAAGGGATTTTTTGAAACTCGAATTCTAAGGGGGTGAAACACCCCTCAAATTTTAGAATATTTTTTATTTAAAAACCAGTGAGTTTTTCGGAAAAAAAATTTAAACACGTATATTTTATTTTGTTGTTTTACATATTTTAAGATTTTTTAAAAATTTATACACGGTCTTTCATAATATATGACCATTGAGTAATCACGATTCTGCTTAAACTGCTTGACGTTTAAAGCTGATTTTTGGCAAACGGATTGACTGTGGGGTGTAGAGGTTCGATAAGGAGGGGTTTCTCGAATCTCAAATTCCAAGAGGGTGAAAACGCTTCTCAAATATTACAATATTTGTTATTTAAAAAACGGTTAGTTTTTCGGGAGGCGCTTGGACACGCATAATTTATTTTGTTTTTTACATATTTTGAAATTTAAAAAAAAATCATACAGGGTGTTCCAAAAAGTTGGGTAATATTACAAATGATTAATTCGACGCGAACGAAGTCGCGGGTACACAAATCACAATTAACAGAGATAGAGCGGGTGAGAAAATTCAGTGATCTTCGAGGCGGAATATCTCGAAAACTACTAATTCTACGTAAGAAATGATAAGGACCATTTTTGTAGGTTGCAGACCCTCAGAAACCCAGAAAACTGATTTTTGGACCATTTGAGGCCATTTTTTCTGCTAAATCTGACCGAGCACGGTGTTACAATTTTTCGCCGTAAACCTACCCAAGGTAAGTACTAAGTAAGTAGTAATCTACCCCAAAAGGTAGACAATCCGCCTGAAAAGTCCCGTTCGACGATCTAGAACCGTGGTTTCAATCTTAAAATATTAGAAAAAATATCGATATTTTTTGTCCATCCCTAGTAAATTTTTCGCCTCTCCGGCTGCGAAAACAAATTAAAACGTCGATTAATATGCGCGACGCGAGAGACCGCGTTTTCCGTTTTATTTTCTTCGATATTTTTCGGAAAAATCCGGCGGCCAAGAGAGAGAAACCTATATAGCGCCGTGGTACCGGTACGATCCTCCGCGCCGCCAGCCTCATTACCATATTTATTAATTTATTTAACGATACAAGCGGACCTACACGCCATCAGGAATTTCATCTAGTTCGATGCGAAATTACTAAAAGAATTTTTCGATTTTTTTTAGTTTAATTCGTTCTCGTTTCTAGATGTTTTCTTCTTTTTGTTTATATCATCGACATCGTCATCATTTGCAGCTTTATTCGACCCTTAATTACGATGAGACCTCCCTGGTATGTTTGATTTTTACGTAATCTTTCATTTTTACATTCATACGAATGTAGTCCAAAAAAATACACCTTTAATACGAAGATTTGGTAAAAACTTCAATTTTTGATATTTTTTTTATAGCGAAAAAGAAAACCCATACCTAATCGTGATTCTGGAGTCGAAAAATACGACCACTAAACATATTTGCACTTATTTAAGACTCACCCTAAACGCTTCATATGAGCGGATAAAACGCATATAAGTGTATGATTTTGGATAAAAAAAATTGCCGCCGGGAGGCACGTATAGCCGCCCATACTAAAATATGTTAATAAAAAGTTGGTAGGCAGTTCCTTTAGTTTCAAAGTAAAGGAATTTTCCAATTTTTTTTATCTCAAAAACTGCGACTTTGACTGATTTTGATGTTATGACAAATTTTGTTGCAAATATTATTCCTAATCTTAAATTGAAAACCGCGTTTCGCTAGCTACTGTAATTTTGGAGTTACGATTTTTTAAAATTTTTAACCCCCTCCCATACCCCCTTACCAACCCCCCCACCCCCACCAAAATCTAATGGCCAGATTATCGGGTGCCACAGTATTTTTGTGCCAAATTTGGTTAAAATCGGTTTAGCGGTTTTTGAGTTATCGTGTTACAGACGGACAGACGGACAGACGGTATAAAACATATTAAGCCGGGTCCACATATGTAGCATCTTCGTGTATCATATCTCCGTCGCGTTGCACCAACATGTTTCATGATCGCTAGTTTGGACGCCGAATTAACGCGATCATATGGTACACCTTAGTGATACCGTATCTGATACATGCCAATCCGAATTTTGGCGCGTATCTTAACACTGCGTATCGGATACACGTATCACGATCTGTCATTTGGACGTGTTTTGATATAGTATAACGATACAATTGACTTGATACGCCGTGACCCGTCTTGAGGCGGTTTTTCTCCGATCATCAAAGGGGCATTGAGGGTTCGCTGAGAAGAATTGATGAACATGATACGACGATACAAGGTGATTTGTTGTACCGTCCATATCAATGATACGCACGCTTGTACGCTGGTACGTATGAATTTTATAAGTATGGACGCTTACTTTGGCACGATATGCATATTCAGTCGACACAGCCCAAATAAACGTCCATACTTACGATACAAGCTCTTGATACGTGATACATGATCCTGATACAATAGAGTGCTACATATGTGGACCCGGCTTTATAGCTTATATCGCTGAAATACTTAAAAAAAGTAGCGTTTTTTATGAAATCATGGCCAACTATGGTTTCCATTTAAAAAAGCATATATGTTTGTGTCATATATGTCAAAAATAACAAGCTTTAGAAAAAATCGGAGAACGCAAACTCATTAGGGATGTGATTATCTACAACTTTTATCTGAAAACTTTTCGTCTAAAATAGATTATAATAGAATTAGGGAATTCCATTATATATTTTTAAAATAGTTAAAATTTGTTTTTTTTTAAATATCTAGTAAGCCATGAACTTTTTCAAAAATCTGAACTTTTTCAAAATTATGAACCCACAAAACTGCAATTCTTTCCCCATTTAACCGACTCTCTATCTTCAGTAGTTTCCAAGATACCCATAGTATATCCATAGAACATCGTAGGAAACTCACCCTGTATAACAACACATACAACTCCCAAAACTAACTTGCAAACTTCACTGGGATTTACAGAAATTATCAAAAAATATCTAAACTATTAATAATTTTTTGGCAGAAATATTGGCCTGCTCCGATAAATATCAACAAATAAAATAATATTGTCGATACGATATATTATCGATATTTTTTTCTTCAGTTCGACATCACTACATTTACTAGTTATAATCGTGGTGCGCAAAAAAAAGGGGGAAAATAAACAATCAAGGCCGGTTTTTCACACCAGTTAAGACAATTTTATTTATGACACTCCTTAGTTGTATTATTGTAAATATGTGTAGTAATAATAAGTAAGAAATACTTGAAAAATTAGAGCATCGTTTTTATATCTCGGAGGTATATAAAATTTAAATAATTTATGATCGAAAAAAACGGTATCCACTTGGCTTTGAAATGACGAGTGATGACATTTCCTATATAATTTTACATATAAATGACAGCGACCTTCATTTCCAAGCCATCTTTGACGGCGTTTTTTTTTCAAGAAACTACTACTCCTGCCTGCAAAGTCTAGAGAACATTACGATAAACAATAAATTTATGAAACCAGTGGATAAAATATCACATCAAAGTATATACAGGGTGGGTCTTAAATAAGCGCAAATATTTTTAGGGCTGGTAGATTTCGATAAAAGACACATATTTTCTTTGTCCTGTTTTTCAAATGACTTCAAAATAACCGAGTTCAAAAAAAAATTTTTTGCTTAATTGTTGAGAATCTTAAATTTTTCTGGGGTTTATATTTCTTGTAAATTTAATGTATTACCTATGTTGCCATATTATCGAAAAATATGGTTTTTAACTAATATAAAATCCAAAAATTTTTTGTCGCGAAAAAGAAAACCCATAATCGTGATTCTGGGGTCGAAATATACTACCACTAAAAATATTTTCACTTATTTAAGACTCACCCTGTATATTAGACGCTTCATATGAGCGGATAAAACGCATATAAGTGTATGATTTTGGATAAAAACGTAAATAAATTATTCTGAAAAATCGCGTGCTAATACTCAATTGATTTCTAATCCTAATAAGCCAACTGTATTTTATCTAAATCAAACTAAATATACCGGTAATACCTACTTTACTAAGCAATAAAAATGAGGAGATCTACTTATTGAGTCGGCACAGTTATTTACCTTTTTTATAATTATCTTAATTTCAACCTAATGTCTGTTTAGGATAGCGTGTAAGCAAGCACATTAAGTTAACTAAAGAATCATTAATTTAACATATTAAACTAACAGGAACGATTTCAACGAGTTTTTAAGTATTATTGTTCGAAGAGATAGACTCAGATAAAGATTTCTCATGCGAAATTCTTACGATTACAATAAAAATACATGCAAGTTAAGAAAGATTTGATTTGAATATGCATCTATATCTATATTCTAATAAAGAAAATAGGTCTTTGAATACGAAGTTTTAGTAAAAACTTGAATTTTTCATTAGCTTACTACTTTGAAAGATCTAAAAAGGAATTGTGAAATATTTTTTTTAAATTCATCCCTAAGAAGGGGTGAAATAAATAAATAAAATTATTTTTTCGAAATTTCGGCGAAACGGTAAGAACTAGAAAAAAAAAGTTCAAATAAAAGTTGTGGAGCGTCAAAGTTTACACAAAAAAAACATGGTCTCTATACTTTTTTTGCTTAGATCAAAATTAACCGAGATAGGGTGGCTAGAAGCTAGAGGATGATAGTAGAAATTTAAAAAAACTTATAAGTTGCTGAAAAGTTCATATATTTAACATTTTTCCTTTTTCAATTTGTTTGGAAAATTAGAAATTTCAATTAAGTTTTTTTTTAAATTCACCCCAAGAAGGGGTGAAAAATATAAATAAAGTTTTTTTTAAATTCACCCCAAGAAGGGGTGAATAATATAAATAAAGTATTTTTTCCAAATTTCAGAGAAACGGTAAGGATTTTGAAAAAATGTTTCAATAAAAGTTGTCCCCTACTTTCTATCCACCCTATCTCGGTTAATTTTGATTTGAGCAAAAAAAAGCACGGAGACTATTTTTATGTAAAATTGCACGCTCTACAACTTATTTGAACTTCTTTTTTTAGTCCTTACCGTTTCTCCGAATTTTCGAAAAAATAATTTTATTTATTTATTTCACCCCTTCTCGGGAGTGAATTTCAAAAAATCTTTCACTATTCGTTTTTGGATCTTTCAATGTATATAATATATAATAATAGCTCCCGTATGTAGCGTTTAACGCCTTGGGAGTAGCAAGGTACAGCTTGCCATGCTAGAGCCGTTCGGTATGCAAGGAAGATAATGTGGCTAGCATAGCACTACGCTTCAACCGCCTATTATTACCTCAGGATTGTGAATCCCAAATACTCATTTAAGGCTGAGTCGACCTAGGTACCCAAACTATTTTTTATTTATAATAAAAATAGTCGGCTGATAAAATGCCGAGTGTAGGATTCGAACCCACTACCTTGAGATTGGTAGACGAGAGCCTGTACCACGTACCACCGGGCATCGTTCAATGTAACTTACATCAAAAATTCAAGTTTTTACCAAAACTTCATATTTGAAGGCTTATTTTCTTTGATTATTAAGTCTATTTTATATAATGTACTTGGTGTTATCAGTTACATTTAATTTTATTTAGTCTCGAAAAACATGAGACTTTTGAGAACATTTACTGTTTAAAACTTTAGGAAACTCATTTCCCTTGTATAATAAGAATAATGACTGTTTGTATTTTGTTTTCTTCTAAATCGAATAATAAAATGTCAGTTTTAACAATATGTCTATATTTAAACTAAAAT